GGGATCACAACCCTCAGTGTCGCGCCCATACCGGGCTGGGACCGGCAACGGGATCATAACCCTCAGTGTTGCACCTGCACCTCGCTCAGCCAGTGAGCGGGAACCGGTCTGTATGTGGGATCCGAACCCTCGGCGGGAGCGCCGTTGCGCTCCCAAGCGGCGCACTGTAGCAGTGCACCACCGGGTCGGCCCAAGATTTTAGACATTTTCCACATTTTGGTTGCAAGGTGATTTCAGGAGGCAGATACCTCTTTGCAAGCTCTGCTGGGGGAAGAGAAGCACATGGGACTCTGAGAAAAAAACTGGTTGTGACATCTCTGGACTCTGGATGGGAGGACAGAAGCTGGAAGAAATGGGATTTTCAACATTTTGGGCAGATCTCTTTTTACACAAGGAAAGGGCTTGAATTTATCTTTGAGAATAGGAGCTCTGCGGGGGGGTGGGAGTGTGAAACCCCTGCCCTCATTAATGTTTTAAAAAATGTGTAAAGGTAATCTCGTTATGGTAATGTTTAGGGAGACTGCTTTGGGGGCAGAGTTGGGGACAGTGGCATTTGGGGCAGCCTGGGCTGCTTTGTAGGGAGCTAGGCTGGAACCTGGGAGAAGGGGTGAGCAGCAAGGGTGGTGTCGCTGCTAGTCCCTCTGTGGTCCCCTGAATGGGCTTTGGATTGGAAAAGGGTTTGCTGGAAGGTGAGGGTGGTTTCCAGAGTCTATGGCACACACTGGCCCAAGCACATCAGTTTGTGGCAGATGACAAATGTGACTTAGAGTCCAGAAGCTGCTGTTCTTGTCTCTGCATATGACCTTGCACCTCTGTGACCCAGGGACAGCACCCTGGGTGTGGGCAGCAGTGTGCCCTGATAGGCCTGGATATCAACGGCAGCAGGGAAGTCCCACCAAGTGGACCCCATGGGCAAACGGGAGTGGAGCAGATGGCAGAGAACACGGTAGACACTAAATGGTGATCTCAACTGAGAAACTTTGAGGAGTGGGGAAAAAACTAGGGAGTCACTGAGTGATCACTCTTGAGCCAGCTTATATCTGGCTTATATCCAAACTTTTTCTGCTCTTTATTTCATATTTCCTTTCTGTGTGCCCAGTACTCTCCTCAATGGTTGTTGGTCTCAGGTATAACTTCTGCCCCCCTCCCCAAGAGGGAGCGTCCTTTCCTGAAGAAGTTGAGCACATTTAAAGAACCCAGAGCCATACTGTCCAGTATAGTAGCAATCAGCCACATGTGGTTATTTATAGTTATATTTAAATTAATTAAAATAAAATAAAAAATTCAGTTCCTTAGTCCTGTTTCAAGTGGTCAACAGCCACATGCAGCCAATGCCTACTGTACTGGACCATGCAGATATTTCCATCACCACAGAAAATTCTATTGGACAGCAATTAAAATAAAATAAAAAATTCAGTTCCTTAGTCCTGTTTCAAGTGGTCAACAGCCACATGTAGCCAATGCCTACTGTACTGGACCATGCAGATATTTCCATCACCACAGAAAATTCTATTGGACAGTGCTGCTCCAGAGGGATAAGGAAAATGCTTAAATTTTTTTTTTTGAAACAATGGCCAATATGTAACTCAGGTGATCTCCCTCTCTCTCTCTCTCTCTCTCCTCCCCTCCTTCATTTTGTTCCGGTGCTCTCTCTTTTTTTTTGAAACAATGGCCAATATGTAACTCAGGTGATCTCCCTCTCTCTCTCTCTCTCTCCTCCCCTCCTTCATTTTGTTCCGGTGCTCGCTCTCTCTCTCTCTCTCTCTCTCGATTTGCAGCTACTCTTGCAAATTTCCACACGCTGGCAATGTGGGGCTTGTATTCCTTCATCCTGACAATCACTGGAGCTGAGCTGCAGCTGCCTCCTTTAGCCGGGGCATCCATCTGCAATTCCCCACAGTCTCTACTGGGCTTGCTTCACTTTACATTACCTGGTTGCTTGGCCTCTGTAGGCATGTGAGTTTGAGACCTCTGATCCATAGCCATCTCGCATAGATGGAAGGATCCCAGGACCAGCAATCCCA